ACTGCCACGAAAAACAGCAACCATCCCTGCCTGCCAGATACTCCCTATGCTACTTAATTTTACTGTGTTGTATTTATTCTACTCTAACATATTCCAACATACCAATTCTAACATGCACTTTTCTTTCTCACTGTAAGATGAATTCTGGGGGCAGGTGGTGGTGCAGTGGTAATGCAACTGGACCCATGTGGGAAAAGTCCTGTGTTCCTGTCCCAGTACTCCCTGAGTATGCTGGGCACAGTTATGCATGCTCGTGATCTGGCCCAGCTGAGACAGGAGTAGATCATCACATAAAGACCCTGCTGAGGGCGCCTATCGCTCTCTCAAGAAATATACCTAAAAAGATCAATTCTGGTTTCAGAAATAATAAAATCCACGAAGTCCTACAACCTTTGACCACCAGGTGGCAGTCATCAGGTGTCTCATCCTTTCCAAAATCTCATTCTCACACTACCCAGCCCCTGACTACCATCTCCTCTCTCCAGCTCATTCTGTCTTCTGCCCTGATCCTCAAGTCCCTGGCCCATCTCTCTCTCATACTTGCCTAGCAAATCCACGATCTACCCCTGCTTACTCCACTCCCGCCTTCCAGCTTCTTAGCCAATCCCGAAAAGCTGAAGGGTATTCCTCCGGTCTTCGTATTTTCCCTTTCCTTGTCCTGGAACAGTGTCCCTCATGCAGATGCGTAGCTCGTTCCCACACTTCTTTCGGGTGTCTGATCAGATGATATTATCTATGTGACTGCCACGAAAAACAGCAACCATCCCTGCCTGCCAGATACTCCCTATGCTACTTAATTTTACTGTGTTGTATTTATTCTACTCTAACATATTCCAACATACCAATTCTAACATGCACTTTTCTTTCTCACTGTAAGATGAATTCTGGGGGCAGGTGGTGGTGCAGTGGTAATGCAACTGGACCCATGTGGGAAAAGTCCTGTGTTCCTGTCCCAGTACTCCCTGAGTATGCTGGGCACAGTTATGCATGCTCGTGATCTGGCCCAGCTGAGACAGGAGTAGATCATCACATAAAGACCCTGCTGAGGGCGCCTATCGCTCTCTCAAGAAATATACCTAAAAAGATCAATTCTGGTTTCAGAAATAATAAAATCCACGAAGTCCTACAACCTTTGACCACCAGGTGGCAGTCATCAGGTGTCTACAGTCTACGTGCACACAAAAATACCAGTTTTAGACACACCAATAGCAATAAATGTGCTGTCTTTAAAGTATCTCTGTTGAGGGCCAGCCCACGGCCTAGTGGCTAAGACACCTGCATCCCACGAGGCTGATCATATGACTCAAATCCCAGACTGGACCACTTAAGAAATGCCGGATTTGCGTGGGTTGTGTGCCCAAAATCCTGAACAGAAGAAGACAGGAAAGAGAAGGGAACAGTGTAACCACGCCCTTTAGGGAGGTGTTTTCTCCCTCTTCCTCTCCCTCTTCTGTCTCTCTCTAGATTTAGATGAAAACAAAACCAAAAAACCCTCTATATGATATCCACTAATTTCAATTCAAAAGATTTTTTTTAACAAAAATCAAATGTTCACAACAGTGTAGAGAAGACAGAACACTCAGCCTGAGAGTGTAAATGAAACGTTAATTGTGGAAAACTAGCAGCTTAAGCCGTCATATGTATATGCCTAGCATTCCACCCCTAGATAACGGAAATGCATAGACCAAAGATGCATGTGAGTGTTTACAGCAGCACTATTCATATTCGCTCGAAACTAGAAACTAACCACCCATCAACAAAAAAGGTGAAATTCTGTTATTTTACACAATGAAAGACTATGCAGTACAGTCTTTTATTCCACAATGTAAATGAATACATCCTATGTATAATTGAATCTTACAAAGTTGAGACATGGAAGTCATACGCAAAGAAGTGTATTAGCTATATGGGTTTTTTTTTAAATATAATGCTCAAAAACAGGTGGACGTAACCTGTGGTGGTAAAAGTCAGGAGAGTACTAGTACTCTGAACAGGGCTCAAGGGGACTTCTGCGACACTAAAAATATTCTATTTCTGTATATGAATGCTGGTTATATGGTGCATTCAATTTGATGAAATTTACCAAGCTGTATACTTCTGACCTGTGAACTCTGCTGTGTGTGTGTATGTATATGTCAACTATCATAAAATGTATTAAATTCTGGGTAAACTAAAAGGCACAGGAACACAGCAATGAGGCATGAATCTGGCATTAGAGAAGCAAGTATTTCTCAGTAGAGAAATGATCTCATCCAGCTTCTTTAGAGGACTTAAGGAAATTCCAACAAACTGAGGGAGTTTATTTATATTTAATTGCTGAGCTAACTATTCATGAACTCCCTGTCACAGGTCAAGCAATGTGCCTGTAGAAAGAAAAGAATCTCCAAGAATACTCTGAAAAGGCAAATCAACAAAATCAACCTGTATCAAACACCCACCCAACAGAAGAACCAAGGGGACATAAAGATACACAGACGGTCTCAGAGCCCCAGGAGTTTTCATCTACTTTGGAGACAGAAGGCTCAGATACGTGATACATTCAGGAAATAATAACAGTACAAGCTGCAAGTTGAAAGGGCCCTAAAAGTATTTCCTCGCCTTGTCTTGAATCCATTCTATGATACTCTTTGGAGGTAGTATTTGACCTAACTGCACTAGGAATAAAGATGTTGCAGCCTGCTAGATAGAAAGTTTCCAAAGCAACTGAAGATAGGAGCCAAAAGGAGTTTCAAGACTGGAGTTAAAATTCAGAGAAACAATGTTTAGAAATATGGAGTGGAGGCCCAGCCATAATGGGACACACTGCTAAGATGTGCTCTGCATGCTGGGATCACATAAAAGGCCTGGGTTTGTTTCTTGGTCTGACCTAACGGCTAGGCATGGTGGCCTGAGCCTGTAATCCCAGTGACTTGGTCACTGAGGCAGGAGGACTAAGAGTTCACGGCTGGCCTGGACAACACAGAAAGACCCTATCTGCAAAAGCGGGGCATATGACACATGCCTGCGGTCCCAGCTAGGGGGCCTGAGGCAAAAGAATCATGACACAGAAAGACTGTGTCATTAAACAAAGGAAAAGGAAAGAATTATGGATTTGGAAGTCATGTGATCATCAAGTGAATACAATACAGTATCTACAGTGTAGAATACTACACTAATCACTAGGGCACAGGGTGAGTGTGACACAAATCCAGGGGAAAAGGCAATGGAATTTTGTCAAACCATGCCCAACTAGAGAAGCATCTGACTACAGAAACAGCAAAAGAATACATCCAGACACTATCCCACAGTACCTGTTCCCTAACCACCCCTCGCTCTCGACTGTGTGCAGACTACTTCTGTTTCTATTTGAGCCAGGGAGGAGGAGTAATTGATATTTACTAAGCACCTCTACAGCATGTCATGTATGTCTAGGCATTTATCATGTATCATTCAATATCTGTAGAACCAGGGCTTTACTGGTGAATGGGTCTCCCCAGATGTGAGCTCAAGGAACCTGTCTGGCCTAGGATCTAAATCCAAAACGACACGTATTATGATGTTTTAGAGACATTTAGGAAATGGTTTAAAGAGGAGAGAAGAGTAGCAGAGACTTGAAGACAGAAAGTCTGATCGGGTTGTGACCCTGCAGTTGTGTGACTCTGTAAAGCCATCCGACCTCTCTGAGATCAGTGTCTTAAGATCTGCCTCGTCTACCTTACCGGTTGCTCTAAGGATCAAAATGGCTTTACATGTGCGAAAGGATTCTGTAAACATGACTGATCACTGACATCTACCTACTCACTTAACAAGATGTTACTGAGCATCAGTAACTACCCAGACCCCAGGGCTGCAGCGGTGACCACCACCAGCAAGGTTCTTGCCCTCACCGGACTTATGTTCTAGTAGGTAAGAGACAAGCTAAAAAACACAAATAAGCAAGCAAGAGCTCCCAACAGTGATGAATCTCTGAAGAAATAGGGTGATAGGAAAACTAGTGACCAGAGGAAAGGAAATGACTTGAGATGGAACAACTAGAAAAGGGGCTTCCGGAAGACACATGGCTGAGACCTCAAAGGCCTCTTCAGCCAAGTGTGGAGCCGAGGAAACAGAGTTCCAGGCATACAGAGTAAAATGAGCTTGGTGTGTTTGAAACACGGGAAGAAAAAGGGGTATGCCTGAAACAGAGCAAGCGAAAAAAAGAGTGAAGTTGAAAAGTGGACAAGAGTCAAATCCAGTATGGCTTTGGACCCCTGAAAGAATATATTCATTACTACAAAGTTCTTTTTTTCAACCCGACCTAATAAGTTGAACCATTATGCAAATATCTGGTGGACACATTATCAAAAGTAGGATACTTCCAACTTTATAACTGAGCAATGTCATTACCATGAAATAGCAAGTGGATGTACCCTGTGCAAAGGGCCTAGATATGAAATTCCTAAGAACTCTATCTAAATATATTTGTTATGATGTTTGGCATGTCGACCAGTCAAGAGTCTCTTTAAAGTAAATGGCAGTGATACAATTATAAAATCTGAGTTTTGGAAACCAGCAGTTAGCGTAATGGCTATGTCGCTGGACTCCCACGTAGTCGACCGCGGTTCGTGTCCCGGACCCGGTGGCTTAAAACTCACGCCGGGCGCGTGTCCGTGCGTGCCCAAGATCCCGAGAGG